GCAAGTGCGTGAAAGGGCTCCAGAGAGGGGCTGCTTAAAATGGCGGCTGCTTGAGCACTGCTGCTGCTGGCAGCAACAAAGCCCAGCCCCTTTCCTCCTCTAGGCAGGGTGGGGAGAAGCCAGGAGGAGAGAGGGAGGAGGTGCCGCCGGCGCAGGCGTGTGAAGGAGAGGGAAAGAGCGTGTGCACTGGTGATCCAAGCGGCGATTCCCAGACCGTCCGTGGGCCGGACCCAGAAGGCAATTGGGCCTGATCCGGCCTGCGGGCCTTAGTTTGTTGACCCATGCTCTACCTGTTCATTAAACCCGTCAACTCTCCTGCTGACATGTCTTCCACCTAGTCTGTTCCTTTCCCCTCTGGCCACTCATTGTCATCCCACCACCAATCCCCTGTCTTAGAGCCTTCTTCCCCTGGGGGTTCCCTGGCTGGTGCTTCCCACCACTCCTCTGTATCTAGCCAGTCCAAGAGAGTCTCTACAGTCACAGCAGGTGCTATAACTCTCCACCGATTTGACTTCATCCCCCAAAAGTGTATCCCTCCATTGTCTTCCGATAGAGATGGATGCCAACCTGTATTAGACATCTAATGGCATTGGCAGTGCCATACAACTAGTCTCCTGGTAGTGGAGTTATTGCTACTAACTGAGAAGGAGAGGGAGAGGAGGAGCAGTGGTGTGTGGCCACATCTGCAAGATCCCTAGATTGGCTCTGTTGAGGTGAAAATCCTTCCCACCACTTCACCTCTACTGGTATGTGGCTGTGACTGGTAAGGGGGGAATTGGAGTCTTCAAGCAGTTTTCAGCAGCCTTTAACAAACTGCTGTTCCCCTGATTCATTGCGGGGAAGCCATGATTGTTTAAAGTGGTACAATGATGCTTTTAAAATTTAAAGTTGAACTGTTGTACTGCAGATGGGACTCTGGACAAAGATGGGACATAATGTTGGAGCGTTGTAGAGAACAAATCCCCTTAGCAGCCAGATCCAACCATCATTCATCATTTGTGTGTTTGTTTGTTTGTATATATATCTGCTCACTCACACATGCATACAAACAAACTCAAAACACAGCCGGATTTGGATAGCAGGAATCTCAAATGAATTATTAAAGTGGATGCTGAAAGCTTATCAGCACCTGTCAGTCAGGTGATATCTCTTCCAGAAGCGAAGGTCAAAAGAGGAACTACCGGCCTTTGGTGCATTTTTGCATCTGATTATGTCCAGATGAGGATGCAGGCAGACAGGCTACAGGCAACCAGGGGTGAAATCCTGCCATCTGTCATCCCTTAAAGCAGTCACAAAACATGTCATTTGCCTGCATACTTTCCTTTTGATCCCCAACAGTAGCTTATAGGAACTAGCTGATTTGGAGCCTGGAACAGAGTAGACGTGTTTGTTTCCCTCTCTTGCAGGTTTCTACGTACCCTTTCCTTTGTCAATTTAATAAGTGGGGCCAACAGAATTCTCCAGCTGCCACAAACAGTCCTCTGTGTGCATTCCTGCCCCCATCTAGCCACAGAGAGATCACCTGATGGGCATGATTAATAAGGGGCGATATCTAAGCACACACTAATTGTAAAATGGAGAATCTCCAGGCAAAAAGCTTTAATTAGAAAGAGAGTCAACAAATATGAACAGGTTTCCTAGGGTCTTTCCAGATTATCAAAATACCCTATAGTTTAAAGTTAATGTCATGGTGATCCTGTGACAGTAATGCAGTATCCTGTCCACATGTGCTGTAGGAATGAATGCCATTATTTCAGGCTGGCGGAATAGCCTTAATCGGGGCTTTTTTTTCAGCTGGAACACACTGGAACTTAGTTCTGGCACTTCTCAGGTGGGCACCATTGCTATTATAAGAGAACAAGCGAGATGTTTGTGGTGAGTCCTGGCACCTCGTTTTCTAGAAAAATAGCATTAGCTTTCATTCTGATCCCTTAAGCACTGGAGTAGTGGCACACTTAACCCCTGGCAAACTGTTTTATTAAAAAATAAAATAAAAAAGCAAAAAAAAAGTAAATAAAGGATGAGGTCTTATCTGCAAGCAGGATAGTTTTACTGGAGTTCATTATTTTCTTTTAAAAAGGGCTACATGATTGATCTTGCAGTTCAGTACTCAGCTTCAAATGAAGCGAAGCATTAATCAAATCATGTATATTAATATAGGCATTCATTTTATATAAATGCAATGTTTCCATTCCCAAGATGGCTTACTCTACTGAGCAATAAAACAAAGAATAAAATCAATGAGCAAGCCAAAACATACTTCACAATACAGTGATTACACCAATTAAAACAGTTGAGGGATTATTAAAACATTCCAGCAGAACTAAAACTAAATTGTGCACTATTTTGAAAAGCCTGGCCAAGCCTTTTTAAAAAGTCTTCACCTGGTACCATAATATATCAGATTAAGCACCAGTCATGCCACCATGTGGATAGCATTCAATGTGTGGACTGTCACAGCTGAGAAGGCTCCCAGTCACCATCCACATACCATGTGAAATCAAGGTGACCTCAATTGTTAACATGGCCCCAATTGTTAACAATGGCCTCAGTTGTTAACATACAGGCAATAGCAAAGGTTAATAGAGCTAAACAGGTAGCCATGAAATTCACAAGCAGGCATGTGGAAATTGGCAGCTCTTCAAATAAACATAGAGTTGTCCCAAACCATGAAACTTTCAGAGGTGTTGGGAAGTGAAATGGCACCCTGCCACTTCTGGCAGACAGGCTGGAAGTAAATGATTGCCCCTTGCTTAAGCCAAACTCTTTCAACTGTATTCAATAAAGTTGTGGCCTGTTTCGATCCAAAGTCAGTTTTTGGTGTCCTTTGTACTTCTTGGTGGATTAGGGACAGAGGAGTCATGGTACCTTGGTCTGCAAACAATCTAGAAGTTGTATTTTGCATTAATGAAATTTTCTGAGAAATCTTCTAAGGCGGTTGCATATATAACATACTGCAGTAGTCTAATGTTCCAAGGTGCCCAGACACTACATCTAGGGCACAGATGGGGAACCTGTGGCACCTGATTTGTTGTTGGACTCCCAACTCTCTGCAGCCCCAACAGGATGTCCAATGGTAAGGATTTACGGGAGCTGAAACCCAACAACATTTCAAGGACCGCAGGTATCCCATCTCAAATATAGAGATGGGTGTGCCAGAAGTTCCCCTGGTTTATTTAATGTTATACACTCTGTGTCAACTCTGAGATTCTCTCCTGAACCTTGTAGAGTATATGTTAGGATTCTTGCTCCGTGTTTGCAGTCATGGGATTGTTTCCTATCACATGGCGGTGTATGTTTTCATTCCACAGTGTGGGAAGTGACAGAGACAGAATGTTTTGATGCTACTGTGTTCCAGAATGTAGGACTATTGTCCTTTGTTTCTTTCTCTTTGCTCTCTAGTGAGAAAGAGGAAGGAGCTAAGTCAGAATGCTAAGTCAGAATGCTCCAGATGAAATTGCCTGCAACAACAGCCAAATGGTTGAGGGGTGAAAGGGATTGTATCTCTTTGACTTTGCTGATATAGAAGATCCCTGCTAGATCACACATAGGATCCATCTAGTAGAGCATTCTGCTTTCAACCGTGTCCACAAAGACGTCTCTGTGAAGCTCACAAGCAGGGCACAAAAGCTGTAGCTAAGTCCCAGGCAGCATCCGTCATTGTAATCCCATCAATGACAAGTTTGAAACAATAAACAGATTACCTCATTCACTCCAGTCATATCCATTTGTTAACACAGAACACATTTTAAATGTGTGCTTGCAAAAAAATAGTCCTGGACAATCTCCTCTGCCCTGCAGCATATCTGTTAAACCTTTCTTGCCAGAGCTAGTTTTCTCCCTCTCCTCATGCAAATCCCACAGTGTCCCTTTCTTAATTAAGGTCTCTGCACTTTAAATATGATTAAAAAGTACTCACTGGAATGTATAAAATTATAACTTTGCTTCCCTGCTAGAACTGACACTAATGAATTGCTTGCTCAGTGCAGGGTCACAATATTGACCAAAACATCTACCTGGCACATGACGAGACTGCAAAGAGTTTCATGTCAGAAACCTTGCGACATCAAGCCATTAGCGTTTGGTTTTGTAGCATGTGGTGAGACTCTGCTGGGGCCAGATGCACGGAACAAACAAGCTGTGCTGAATCTTTGAAATACCTGTAAATTATTTGGTCTCTGCTCTAAGAAGCTTGCAATCTTACAACAGAAGGATACTTGTGTTATGGTATTTTGACTTATTTACGTAGATAAAAGCAACTGGAGATTTGAAGGAAGGTATTGTCAATATGCTTAAGGGTATTGCAGAACGGGTAGTTCTCTAAATGTTGTTGGTGGGAAAATCTGTCAGTTTCAGTTTCTCTCCATTTCTCATTTGTCTAATCTGAAAGTCAGTTACCCACAGTACTCTAGTATTTTTTTAAGTTCTGAAAATTCATCAGCATTTCATTGTAAATTTCTCCCAATACATGTTCCTTTGCATGCAGTTTTCCCTAACATATACATTGTTGCAAAGCAGTTCCCCCACATTTTTATCTTATTTTTACCCACATTATCTCAGTATATGCTGAGCAGTGTGAGTTGAAGAGTTTGTTTGGGTTCTGACACTGCTTTCAAAATGGCAAATTAGTTAGGTAAACCTTTAAATGCAAAAAAAATCTGAATCAAATTTCTTTTCCCTCCCAATTCCCATTAGCCCAACTCAATTTGATAAATGATAAAGGATTATGGGATCTGGAGTCCATCAACATCTGGAGGGCCACAGGTTCTCCACCATTAAGCGTAGCTCTATGTTTTCTTTTTATCACCATGGAGATACTGAAATCGATCAGAAATGGACTGAATGAGGGTCAGTAACTGAACTGACACCAGATTGGGGGGGGGGGTGGTTCAATGAATTTGGGAAGTGGTTTCAATCATGGTCTGCACAAAGGTTTCCATACACTGTAAAGGAACTGGTTTGCTATTTCAGGTGCTTTGGGATCCTGTCTTATTTTGTATCCCCAAATGCAGTGTGGGGGTGTATATTGAACAAACCCCAAAGTTTCTCAAACCCCTTTGAGTAAGTCAGCCCACACTAGAGTATAACTTCAGAACCATGGGCATGGATAAGGCTGCCTTTCTTCCTTATTTTCTCCTTGGGCCCACAAGAGCTGAACAACATTTCTTTCCTAGGCAAGGCACTTGAACAAGTAGTTATCAGACAAATCCAGGCACTCAGGGATGAAACACATTTTCTAGATCGATTTCAGTCGGTTCCAGCCAAAGATCTTTCTATTTCCCTAAGCCCTGTAAGTCATGTTGTAGCTTTTATCATTATTTTACCTCTGATATTTATTCTTTGCTCTTTATTTTCCTTGATCTGTTTCCCATCTTTCTTGGTGTTCTAAAAGCTGTGCAGTTTTTGATTGCATTTTTTATTGTATTGTTGTGTTTTTCATAAGATATTTTTATTCCATAAATTGTCCATGGAATTTCCTGTTATTATTAGGGTGGTCTATAAATAATGCAAGCAAGCAAACAAATCTCTCTGTTTAGAAGTCAGTCATCGCCAGTATCCAGCTAGACTGGTCAAGCAGCAAGTGAAAATCAGTAATGAGTAGACCACATCGCCATTTTATGTGTTGAAGGAGTCAATAGGAATTGGCATTTGTTGGTTATTTACTTGAGTCAAACCACTGTTCTGAATCGCTCAGCTTGCAAGCCATGTTTTCTCACTTCTTGGTTCAACACACTTTCTGAGACCGCCCAGGATAAATTGAGTTCCAATCTTAAATCAAGGCAAGAAATCAGAAGTCCTGTGAGTTGCATCCTTCTTGGGAAACTTTCCTACACTTTTCATCATATCAACTGGCATGTAGGTAAGACGTCATGCAGCAGTGCCTCTGGATTGCGTAAGTTGAGAAGAAACTTTTGGTGGTCTACACTTGCCTATTAATGCTTGCTTACCATTGATACTTGGGATTGCTGGTACACATTTTTTTTTTCTAAATTAAAATGGGAGACACATGTCTCTCTTATACTTCAAAAATGCCCATACACATAGATTTTCTTGATCAGCTCCCGGAAGATTTAGAAAGCTGTCTTACACCAAGTCATACCATTGGCTCATCTAAGACACTTTTATCTACTCTAGATGTGCATCCCTAAGGTTTCAGATTGGGGTATTTATTTCTCAGCTAGATAGAGCTTGGTATAAAGACACCTTTTTGTGTTCCTACCATTAGTTCTAATACCAAAATGACTCAACAAGGACCTATGATCTGTCTCTTGTCCAAGATGACTGGAGCTCTGAATGGGAGCATTCCTGTTAAGGACTCGGGATATGTAAAAGCATTGTCCTGTGTTATTACCACCCTTACAAGGCAGCACCAAGATTTCTCATACATTCCTAGCTGCCATATATGATTGGCAAGGTACATTTGGCTTAGTGTGATCCCACATTGTGCAGACCTGCCCTTTTAATACTAAGAAGACTATAAGGATTCTTTTTATGAAAGGGCGATCACCTGATGGAAACATTAAAAAAAAAATTTGCGTGTTCATAACATAACATAACATAAAATAATTAAAGATATTGAGGTAGAAGAATACATGTCAATATGTGACAAGTAGATTGATTCAGCTTGGCAGTATTTGTAGAACCCCTTATAACCCCCAACTAAATTAGTTAACAGAAAGTTATGAAATAAACATCCTTGCAGGCTTACATAAAGTTGAACAGCAGAAGTGAGATAAGCAGTGTGAAGTGAGACTAGCTTGCTTTTCATTGTCAGAATTTTGATATGGGCTCTGTTTATAGCTTTAATCCTTAAGAGTGTGTCTACACAACACCTCTGGGAAGGCAACATCTCATTTCTAAGAAAACACTGAGGCATTACAGCTAGCGTATCACAGGCGCGCTGCAAACTGTTATATTGCCAATATACCAGGAATGATTAAAAACAAGCACAGGCATGCCTTACAGTAATCCTGCATTTCTTATTAGACTTCCTAGCATCTGTCGAGGATCCGTTATTGCCAGGAGAGAGAATCTGAGTGCCAAGAGCAGTAGGTGGCCTTTTGATGACCTCTGGTGCTTCTTCTGAACCTTCAGGGTGATGCACACAAGTACACTTGAGACCCTCTGCATTTTGCTAAATGTATCTAGCTCTCTCTCTCTCTCTCTCTCTCTCTCTCTCTCTCTCTCTGTGTGTGTGTGTGTGCATTAAAAGCCCTGTTGAAAAAAAACCCATATATTTATTATTGCAAGTATTTTTTTATGTGGTTAGAAGATAAAGAGATATGGCAAGAACATATGGCCCAGACTCAGAGGTTAGGAAACATGGCTGAATCTTCTAACCATGAGGACATGCACATCCAGTGCTAATCTTCACTATAGTTAGACAAACTATATTTTGAAAACCATCTGTCACTATGGTTGCAAACTGAGGTGCAATTCTAGCTATGGTTAGCAATAGCGTGGACAGGTGTGTGTTGCCAAAAAAGAGGATTTGCAACCAAAAAAAAAACAAAAGGAGGCACCATTCTGCAAAATAATTGCATATGCAAATTTTTATGTATAGATGCAAATGTTGAAAGAAATATTATAATTTAAATATAAATACAATAGTGGGGAAGGTACCAGGGGACTTGGGTCCCCTGCTCAGTCTGTTGACTGGGAGCTGCAAACTGTTGATGGGCAACTTGGGACCTGGGATAGCTCAGTGGACTCTTAATTTCAGGGTTGTGGGTTTGAGCCCCACGTTGGGCAAAAGATTCCCTTCCAACTCATGGTCCCTTCCAACTCTAGAAATCTGTGATTATTAACTTCAGGGCTCCATATCTTTAAAACAGACATGGACTTGACAGCCCTCAAATAGAGAACACCTTTGAAATAGAGGACTGTCCTCTGCGAAGTAGAATACATGACCACCCTCTAGCCAAAAAGCTCATGAAGACATAATGCCCACAAGAAAAATGGGAGCTTGGGCAGTGTTAAATCTGTACCAGGTTTCCCCAAAAATATTTGTCAAAATGAGATTTCCTAGTCTTCATAGGCTTAATTTTCATACAAAAGAGAATGAAAGAAGAAGAAGAAGAAGAAGAAGAAGAAGAAGACAAAGACTAATGGCAGAGGACAGGAGAACAGCAGGGTGTTAGGCACATACTGTGGAACCCACCAGCTGCATGTATATATAATTACACATGCTACACTTTCAATCCTAAAATTGTGTAGAGCAATAATCCAAAATTTAAGTAAAACTGTTCCTTTTACCCTAACGCACTGAAGGCAACCTTCCCCCAACAGAGGAAATTGCTTGCCCACCTGCGACTTGATTTGTTTCTGCTAAATCAAGAAGTCAGAATACTGCTTTGAGACTCCCAGAATATTGGCAGATTACTCAGTGGCCTATAATCATGTACAAATTAATTTGGGAATGGGGAGAAAAATAACACTATATTCTCAGGTTTCCTGGGATGGTTTCATAATTAATGAAGGCATCTGTAAGGATGCGGAATTTTAGTTCAATGAAGTGGATCCTAATGAAATAACTCCAAAGGGCTTGTTAAATATTAACAGGCCACTAAAAAAAAAACTGAAAAAAATCTAAGGTCACTTTGGGCCTCAGCTTGGTGTACAGCTTTATTAGCAGCAATGAATCCACACCCTTCCACAGATATTTTCTGTAGCTTGTGACTTTGGTAAGAAAATGAGATACTGACTAGACAGAAAAATGAGAAGCTCACTAAAAACTGAAAGCAGTTCACTGCATTTTTAAAAACAAGGGAGTGTGGTGGAGGGGGCCCAAATATTATCTACACTTGCCTGAATTGCATTGCTCTAATAATCTATCTATCTATCTATCTATCTATCTATCTATCTATCATCTCTCTATCTATCTATCTGCAGAGGACACTGGCTGGCATACATCAATTATGTCACAGCCTGGCTGATCAAGAACAGGTAACTGAACAAACAGTGGTAATTCAAAGCAAAATAGTGAGCATCATACAGTCCACATCGTTTAAATTCCTCCTTTTTCCAGTTAGAACTCTATTCCTGCAATACAAGATCTGATCTGACCAAATTTCAGAGGTTTTTAAATTTTATTTTAATGTTGCTCCAAGCCTCTTATTTTACATTAGTTGTGCTGATTAGGTTCAGAGAGGGAAAACAAAATATTCTAATGGCTTTACCCGCAAAAGCAGAAGGAGCAACATGTCAGACAGCCACCAAACTATTGGCCATTTAAAATCTGGGGATAGGAAAAATTATGATGGGTACTATGAGCAAAAGTTCGGAATTGAGAGTGGGTGGGTTCCAGGTTCCTACTGAATCTTCAGACTCTGGAGAACTTTTCTGAAGGCTTCCGGGATTTTGGTGAATATCTCTGTGTACAACATTATATTTCGACTAGAAGGCATTCAAATGCCTGATCACTGCAAATGACTAGCAATGGTGAGTGAGAGGTAGGTGGAAAGACAGTACCATGTTCCTGGTGTTGGAGTGGTTGGGGGAGCAATTAAATGGCATCTCACAGGTACACACCAAGGCTCTTCTTTTTAAATATGAAAAGAAATGTGGTGGGGAAAGGGTAAAAGAAGGTAAATAACAGCAGGCACCCCCATTTCATTTGTATGTTGAAAAACATGCAAGCTTTTGGTTTCTCAAAGGAAAACTCTTGTTTTTCAAGGTTGGTGGATAGTATCTTTCAAACACAGATATGGTAGGGATACATTCAACTTGTCCACTAATTGAAATCTGGCAGCCTCCTACCATTTTTGTGAAATGATATACAGGTATTAATTATGCAGTAGTAAATAAAGCAAATTAACTGCAGCCTTCCAGCTTGTGATATATTCTCAGTGTGGCTCTTTCAAGAGCATCCAGGTCTCTGAAGCAGAAAGACAATTACAGCATTCTGAGCCTTACCATCAAATAAGGGGTGCAGTGTCTTCTTACACCAGTTCTGTCTAATTTTTGTCTTTTGCAGTGGCAGTGTTGCTGGAGGAAATTTCACCATGGTACTACACCAGTAAAGTTCTGCAACATTACTAGTAGACTCCACTGGTATATACAGTCGTGTTTCATATCCTATCCTTATTGAGCTTGCATAAATTGATAGGATTGAGATTTTTTATTGTAATATCTGAAAATTTAAACCATAGAGGCCCATTTTAGCAGAGACTGGAAGACTGTTGCATCAAACTTTAGTTATGGATGAGATCTGCCATTTCATTTACCATTAGTATTCATGAATATGGCTTTTCTGAGATGGGTATTAGACAGAGCTTGGACAGAGCAATTTATATACAAACTGATTCAGACTGATCCCTTTCCCATCATGAATTGGTTTTCTTCATATTTTCTGTTATCAATACCATGTTGTTTGGAATTCACCTTCCTTTGACTTGGTGATTGTATGTATGAAAGGAATATGACTTGTGTTCCTTGTTATTAATACAGTTATTCCTATTAGCTAAATAAGCACATAACCATGTTGCATTTTCTCCACACTTTCAGGCAACCCTGATCTAGAGTATCAGCTGCCCCAAACCTTCACATTAGCTCTAATGACTGTTTAGTTTGCTTCCCATAAATCTCTCCCCCTAATTACTTGGGCTTGCTGTAGGATCCGGCACACTAAGATGCTTCTAACTCTAATCACGTTATGCTGAGTCATTGCTAGTTTACTGTCCCTGCAAGATAAATATGCTCTGAGGATGATGGGATCCAACATTTCCCTCAGATAACGTACCTTTGAGAAATGATAAAGACTCTTTCCTGCTAAATAAGCAAAAACTGATTCCAGTTATTTAGGAATCCATTCTTGCTCACCTGTTGTTCAAGCACAAACAGTAGCTGCAGGAACTGTTGCACTACCTTTGATAATGAATCCAAAGATCTCTAAAATTAACAAATCCCCAATCATGTTATTGGGATCTTGAAGTAGATAGTGTGAAGGCTGGAGTTGCTGAATACAGAAAACTCATGCACAAATGCTGAAATAGAAAAACGTGCATGCAGGTTTTGGCGCTCCTTACTTTCCCCAGCAGTGGGAAGCAATAGGACCAGAGATTTTACTGGATTTGTTTCCTGGAAAAATGGTGGAAATTTATGGAGTTGATAAAGCTTACTAGCAATTACATGAGGGGTGGGGGAAGCAAGCAAGCAAATAGCTCTAGTCTTTAACACAGCACAATTCCCTCAAAGAAGCAGCATATCCTCTGCTTGCAAAAGCCAAATTTGTTTCTTCGTTGCTTGCTACATTCAAATGCCAAAATATTTTCCTTAGGCCTATATCCAGTGAGTCCAGTAGCTGGTAGTCATTGGTTATCGGAGGCCTCTGGAAAGCACTTTTAGCTAGCAAATGATCTGCTTTGAAAAGTTTATATAGCCAAAAATTGTATTTGCAATCTATGCCCATTTTGAGGTTTTATTCTACAATCAAGTGGTATGTAAATTTTATGAATTAAAAGCAAATAGATATATTAGTCAAAACCTAATTTAATTTCAGACATCCAACTGCATTCAGTATGAAATAGGTGTGTGTGTCTTCCATGCAGAAACAACACCCTCTAAAAAACAAAACAAAACCATAAAACCAACAAGCTCCTCCTTGCCAATCAATCACACACACAAAATGACCTGACCAGCTATTATTATCTCCTCCTCCTCCTCTATAGGTCAGATGTTCAGGTGTGTATGTAAAAGCCAGCAATTTGATGGACTATATGGAATTGGCGGAAATGACTGGCAGAATCCAAGACCAGGGAGAAGAGTCGGTGGAAGAAGATTGGAAGAAATTTAAAGATTATCTACAGAAATACTGTAAAATTAATGAATGTTAGAATGACGTTCGATAAAAACTAAGTGGTTCTTAGCTGAAATGTTATAAGGGAAGATGAAAAAAGGGTTTACTATGTAACATGTAAAAATCTAAAAGTACAATATCTTTATGATTATTTATAGGGTTATTTAAAAGAGGGGAGGGAACTGCTGAACAAAATATGTGAACTGGAATACAAAAAAGGGAGGTGTGAGGAGGTCGAGGAAACAAGTAAATGAAGGATAAGACATAGAAAGACTAATCTGTTTGTTTAACTGCTTTTATTTTGTATTTTGTATTTTTGTATTTTTCTATTTTTTTTTCTTTTTTATCTGTTTTTCTTTTTTCGCTTATTTTTGTAATATGTTGAAATTTTAATAAATATCTTTTTAAAAAAAAAGGAAAAGCCAGCAATTT